AAGGGACGCATTTGTAATAAGGACGCAATCGGAAGTCGCTTAATGTTAGCCATCCTCAGGCAACAGACTGAACCATTTAAGAGAAATCCTTGTTAAATCTTGACTGATTGAACGTCCCCCCACCTATATTCTGAATTCACCTCTTTAAAAAAGGTTAGTAAAACATCGGCCTTACCTGCAGCAGCAGGCTTGGCCGCAGAAGGCACAACGGGAGGAGCAGCAGCGGCGGTTGCTGCGGCGGCGGATTTCTGCGGCTTAATTGTGGAAACAGACGGCTCCGCAGCAACGCGTTTCTCAGGCGTTGCTGCGGTGGAAACAGTCGACGACTCATCGCTCTTCCTCCTAGAGAAAAACGCGAAAAGAGCTCCGACAAGGGCTGCGATCACGATGACTACCGCGGAATGCGCGATTGCACGCCAGGCCACTGCTACCACGAGGATGGCTACCGGCGCTACAGACTGACGCGCTAAGCGACCGAAGTCCATGGTTGGAAACTGCAACTCGACCCAGCAGGGTCACGACGCGGCAAGTGCGGAAAGCAGCCAGCCTCAACACCAAGCAGCAGAATTCCCGCCAATGGACGACAATTCCCAAGGTTTTGGGACAAAAACCGTGTTAGCTCAAATCTGACAGAAAGACTGATCTGGATGATTGTCAAGATCAGACTGAGAAACAGAGCAACAGTAAGGTGAGGAGGAAAAGGAGGTGAGAGGAGGAAGATAAGAGGGGGAAAGCTCGAAGTCGGCTTGGGCGAAGAGTCTTGCGAATTATTCACGATGTTCGTCCAACTTTGAATCTCGACACACGGGGGCTGCTGCGACAAAAACTTGGCGAGTTTCGCGAATCCCGAGGCACGGGTGATGTTGGGGGAGTGTCACAGTTGTCTCCCAAGGTGCTCTCCCGCTCTCCTGCAGTCGTGGGATGAACGAGAACGTTCCACGTGGCGATAGGCTTTTGACGATGTGTCAGAGGTCACTGGGACTGGTGCCTCCGACCCTCTTGTCATGAGACATGCTGACGCGGCTCGGCGGAATTGCTTCGCATGAACCATGGATTGTACTGTACATGTCAGTTTCAACTCACTAGAAAGATGCAGATTTACCCTGACCATATCGAGGAATGAGCATGACACACGCATGCAATTTATGAAGTAAAATATAACTGTGATTATCAGAACCACAAAGCAAGGCCTACATCGCGCATTATCAGGCTCGTATCACACAAGTAACCGCGCAACCCAGTCTCCGCCGCAGCCATGGCGTCGATAATTTCCTCCGCCGTGCTTCCCGCCGCCGTCTCCGCGCCCGTCCTGCCACCTCTGCGGAAAATTCGCGCGAATGGCGCCAGTTTCGCCGCATCCCTGAGGTCGCGGGGACCGCGTCCCCTCGGCAGCACGTTTCAGGTCCGAGTTCTGGCGCATTCCGCCAGAACTGGCAGAAACTGCGAAGTTATATCCGGGGATGCAACGCACGCCTAGGTTTCTTCTTACGTCGGCGCACATTTCATTCGTTTCTCCCCGTCCCTCCCCCGTTTCCACAATTTCCACCGTTTTCCGCAATTTCCGCCATTGCTGCCGTCTCCGATAATTTCCGTCATTCCCCATTCGCGCCCCCGTTTCCCCTCCGCTACCCCGTCCGTGGTTCTCAGGGCACGCCCGTTCAGGGCGCTAAGATTCGCGCGCAGCATCAGTACGCGGCGCCCGCGGCGGGAGGCGCGGCGGTGGTGGCGGCCGCGTCGCCCAAGGGGACGGGAAAGGGCACGGTGGTGATTGAACCCGATCCGCGCATCCCCATCGTGCTGCTCGGTGCGTCACATATCATGTCATGCCGTACCTTCAAGTCGATTTGCTTGGTGCCTGTTGTGCCGTGCTCTCTGTTTTGGTATAACCCTCGAAATGGGAAGGGCACGGTGGTGGTTGAACCCGATCCCCATCGTGCTGCTCGCTGCGTGCCATGCCGTGTCCTGTCATCCCTTTACGCCGAGTTGCTTGGTGCCTGTCGTGCCGTGCTGTCTGTTTTCGAGTCAAAACGGGAAGGCCACGGTGGTGGTTGAACCCGATCCCCATCATGCTGCTCGCTGCGTGCCTTCCGCCATGCTGTCGTGTCTTTCATGTCCGTTTCTGCAATTCTTAGTCCTTAATCTCCGTGCCTTTCATCCCTACAACCACACCCCCCTCCACCTGTTCCCCTTTCCCCCCCTCCCCCATGTCCCACCAGGTGTATCCGGTGCTCTCTTCCTGGCAGACAACAAGCTCGCAGCTGCTCCCATTGACCTGCTGACATGAGTCATTTCAACCCCCACTTAACCCCAACCCCACCTCACCCCACCCAACCATTTCACACCCACCCCCCTCCTTTCCCCAATGTCCCACCAGGTGTATCCGGAGCTCTCTTCCTGGAAGACAACAAGCTCGCAGCTGCTCCCATCGGCCTGCTCGGGGCACTGCTCGCCTTCCAGGTGCCTTTTGTCTGCCTCAGGTGGTCTTCAGGTGGTCTTCAGGTGCGTTCCTCACATCTTGTCGTCGTATACTTCTTGGTCCTTATGCTGATTCCTTCCTGCTGCCACTATGGTTCCGTGGCTTTCCCAGTCGACCCACAGTGGGTCATGCTGCATTTAACCCATGTCACCCAAAGCCTCCCAATTCCCGATCCCTTTCCTCATTCACAACCCCCCACCCATCTCAGACCACGCGCGTGCGCTTTGTGTTCGGGGAGGAGGCACCGGAGGTGCTCATAGGGCAGCATGAAAGCATGTAATGGCATGACAAATGCACCTCCCCTACCACCCCCCCCCCCCCCCCTCTCTCCCATCCCCCGCCCCTCCTTCTCAGACCACGCGGGTGCGCTTTGTGTTCGGGGAGGAGGCACTGGAGGTGCGCATAGGGCAGCAGCTGGAGTCGTCGGGGGAGAACGTGTTTGTGGGCGGCGAGAACAAGTGGAGGTGAGTGATTGGCCTTCAGGTGAGGGTCAGTGGTCAGTGGCTGGTTGTCAGCGCGTGAGGGGGGGTCGAGCCATCCAGATCTTAGCGGCTAATCAGGAGGGAGAACGCGGAACATGGCACGCTGTGATGTGAAATTTCGAGGTTTTTTCGAGTTTTGAGTCGACTCAAAACTCGACTTATCACACGAGGTTTTTTCGGTCCCTTCCTCCCGTCCCTTCTACCCCTCCCTATTCTCTCCATCTCATCAGGTACGACACATTCGTCAACTGGTGGCCGGCCTTCCCCGTGCTAATTTACTTCAAGGAGAATCAGATCCGCCTCCCTTTGTTCCCCTCCTCTTCCTCCCCTCCTCTTCTTCCCCTGAACTTCTTCCACTTCCCTTCTCCCCCTCCCCTTCTCTCCCTCACACCAGGTAGGACACATTTGTCAACTGGGAGTTCTGGTGGCCATCATTCCCCCCTGCTGGTCTATTTCAAGGCGACCCAGACTCGCCTCTCTTTCTTCCCCGCCCCTTCCTCTCATCCCTTTCTTTCCCTCCCCTTCTTCCACACCCTCCCCTTCTCTCTCTCACGCCAGGTACGACACGTTTGTCAACTGGGAGTTCTGGTGGCCCTCTTTCCCCGTGCTGGTCTATTTCAAGGAGACCCAGACTCGCCCTGAGGGGCAAGTGCACTTCTTCCCCATCATCGCGGTACGTGGTTAGCTCATCAGTGCTATGTATGTGTGCATTTGTGTTGGAGGTGACTTTTGAGTCGACTCAAAAGTCACTATGTATGTGTGCATTTGTGTTGGAGTGTGCATGCTGTCTCTGTCCTGCACTCCTCTTCTATTTCAAGGAGACCCAGACTCGCCCCGAGGGGCAAGTTCACTTCTTCCCCATCATCGCGGTACGTGCATCAATGCTGCTGCTCCTCCTGTTGGAATGTTTCTGTGATCTTCTTGTGTTTCTGTTTGTGTACATGTATGTGTAAATGAGTATGCATGCTACTCTTGTTGTTCCCACAGTCATCTATTTCAAGGAGACCCAGACTCGCCCGGAGGGGCAGACCCACTTCTTCCCCATCACTGCAGTACGTGATAGAATTATTAATTTGAGACGTCTCAAGATTTGTGCTCTCATCGGTGGTCCAGCATTTTTCTCCCGCCCTTATGCTCCCTCCCCCTCGCCCATCCCAATCCACTGCAGAACGGCAAGCAGCTGTACGATGTGATGGTGGAGCGCTGGTCCCTCCAAAACCACATGCCCCACACATTCGATCAGCCTCTCCCCTCTCTCCTCCTCCCCTTCCCTTCCCCCCTCCCCCCCTCCCATCCTCCCCTTCCCATCCACCGCAGAAAGGCAAGCAGCTGTACGGTGTGATGGTGGAGCGCTGTGGGCACATCATGACCACACACATTCCATCATTCCCACCCTCCCCCTCTCACCCCCTCCCATCCTCCCCTTCCCATCTACCTCAGAACGGCAAGCAGCTGTACGATGTGATGGTGGAGCGCTGAGGCCCCTCCAAGAACACATGCCCTCACACACCCTATCAACCCCGTCCCCCCCCTCTTCCGCATTCTCCCCCTTCCACGCTCCCCATCCCGCAGAACGGCAAGCAGCTGTACGATGTGATGGTGGAGCGCTGTGGTCCCTCCAAGGGCAGTGGGCCGTCTGCTTGACATGTGGTTACCATGTTTGGTTTGTGGGCAGTTACCATGTAAACATTAACTGTTGTTCTGTACACCTTGGCCTTCAACATTAATGTATTAATCCTGCCTGGCACATACTCTATGGTTGAGTTTACTGTAACTACTGTTCTTCTTGTCACCATAAAGTTATCCGACCATTTCCACTGGCATCGTACCATAACTCAATGTCACTTCACATCTAATCATGAGAACTGGTACATTGTACCGTAACAAAAATAACAGCCTGCAGCTGCGAGCATCTTCAGCAGCCAAAATCTAAAAGATGCTCGCTAACATTACGGTACATAACTTATTGATAAGAGCTCCTTGCAATAACAAGCCAGAAATCCCAACATTGGCCTAGTTGGCAATGTGTGGCCAGCTCCAACCTAAGCAGTGCCTGTTGTTGCTGACTGTGCTGCTGCTGCTGACGGTGGTGATGCTGATGGTGCTGGTGGTACTACTGGTAGTGGTGGGGGGAAGTCTGTCAAGTTTTGAAGCACAGAGAGGGTCTGAACAGCATCTGACATGAGGGGTCTTTCCTTGGGGTCTTTTTTCAGGCAGTTATAAGCCAGCCTGGCAGCCTTGACCACCCCTTTCACCGAGAACTGGTGCTCCAGCCGTTGATCGACGATCTTCACAAGCATCCGACGGTCGGCAAAGAACGGCGCCGACCACTCCACGATGTTCTGCTGCCCGGGCGGAAAGTTTCGCTCGACTGCCCGCCTCCCAGAGATGATCTCTAGAAGGACAACGCCAAAGCTGTAGACATCAGATTTGGCAGTCAGATGGCCTGAGGAGTGGTGGGAGTGATGGAGGGGGGGGGAAGTGCGGGTAAGGGGATGGGGGTAAAAAGGGGTTTCTGAGGCACCTCTAGGAGGACAACGCAGAAGCTGTAGACGTCAGATTTGGCGGTCAGATGGCCTGGGGTGATGGCAGAAGCGTGGGAGAAAAAGTCCAAGAGGGGAAAGGGGTGGAGGGGAGAGGCAGAGCGAAGGCGTGGTGGAGGGGTGGGGAAGCAGTCGAGTGAGGGAATGATGGGTTCAAAAGTGGCAAATAGCCTGGCAATCAATCACTGCAAGTTTGACAGATGGGCTGACGAAGGGAAGGGGAGCGGGTGAGGAAAGGGAGAGAAGGTAGGTGGGAAGAAGAGGATGGCTTGGCTGGCGGTAAAAATCTGGTGTGAGGTAAAAATCGTACGATCAAACCCAATGATGCCTAAATTGATTGGGAGCAGCATATGTGTACGTGCCCATGACCCATGTCAACACAGGCGTGTCATTCCCCTCTGAAATTATGAATCAGATCTACCTGTGAGCATGTATTCGGGAGCAGCATAGCCGTATGTGCCCATGACCCGTGTGGACACATGTGTGTCGCTGCCCACTGGGCCATCCTTGGCCAGCCCGAAATCTGATAGCTTTGCGTTGAACTCCTGAAGAGGAGGAATTGGAAGCGGGTGGAGAGGGGGGAAGGGGCAAGAAAGGGGGAATGAAAGGTTGGAGGAAAGAACGGAAGAGGGGAGAGACTGCAACAGCGCTCAGAGAGACCCTGTTCATGAGGACATTTGAACCCTTGAATTAGCTGTAGATGACCGCAGGCCGTGCCAACAGCATTCACTCACCCTATCGACTAGAATGTTTGAGGCCTTGAAGTCGCGATAGATGACCTGAGCCTCTGTCTCCTCGTGCAGGTGGGCGAGTCCTCTGGCAGCATGCAGAGCCACCTTTGAGTTGACTTAGAAGCCAACTTGCAGCAAGACTCACCCTATCCACGAGAATATTAGACGCCTTGAAATCTCGGTAAATGACCTGAGCATCTGTCTCCTCATGCAGGTGGGCGAGTCCTCTGGCAGCATGCAGAGCCACCTTTGAGTTGACTTAGAAGCCAACTTGCAGCAAGACTCACCCTATCCACGAGAATATTAGACGCCTTGAAATCTCGGTAAATGACCTGAGCCTCTGTCTCCTCATGCAGGTGGGCGAGTCCTCTGGCAGCATGCAGAGCCACCTTTGAGTTGACTTAGAAGCCAACTTGCAGCAAGACTCACCCTATCCACGAGAATATTAGACGCCTTGAAATCTCGGTAAATGACCTGAGCCTCTGTCTCCTCATGCAGGTGGGCGAGTCCTCTGGCAGCATGCAGAGCCACCTTTGAGTTGACTTAGAAGCCAACTTGCAGCAAGACTCACCCTATCCACGAGAATATTAGACGCCTTGAAATCTCGGTAAATGACCTGAGCCTCTGTCTCCTCATGCAGGTAGGCGAGTCCTCTGGCAGCATGCAGAGCCACCTTCATACGGATGTTCCAGGGGAGAGGCGTCACGTTGCCTGTGAGGGGAATAGGGAGGAGGGAGGGGAAGAGAGGGGTGAAGGCAGCGGCATGGATTCAACCAACTATGGCAGCATGCAGAGCCACCTTCATACGAATGTTCCAGGGGAGAGGCGTCACGTTGCCTGGCGTGATTGTAAATAGAGGAAGGAGGGGACAAGAGGGGCGAGTACAGCCACGTGAGCCTTTGTATGTCAACATGCATCATAGATTGCTTGTTTGCTCTTCAGCAGCCAGCTACCAGCCTCCCCCCCTTTCCCCCCCATGCAGTCACACAGACACCCCATAAAGTCACACAATGTATGAATTACTGATCCATTTGCCACTCACGGCGGAAGAGGTATCTCTCGAGGCTGCCATACTCCATCAGCTCAGCTCGTATGCCAGCAGCCGGTGCTCGCCCTCCATGCACTACCCCACCAGCCAGTCACCGTGATATGTCTGCCCCATACAGTCACGCACTGTATACAGTCACACACACGTACAGTCACACACTCACGGCGGAAGAGGTATCTCTCGAGGCTGCCATACTCCATAAGCTCATATGCCAGCAGCCGGTGTTGGCCCTCCATACAGTACCCCACCAGCCGCACCAGATTTGGATGCCCCAACGCCCCCAGGTACCTCACTTCGGTCTGGGTAAGGGGTGGGGAGGAGAGAGGGGAGGAAGGGACACCAAATCACTTATCAACCTCCATGCAGTACCCCACCAGCCGCACCAGGTTCGGATGCCCCAACACCCCCAGGTACCTCACTTCGGTCTGATAGGAAGAGAGGGAAGGGAGAAGGAAGGGGCGGAGAGGAGGGAAGGAGACGAACACATATTTGTTTCACCCTCCTCCATACAGTACCCCACCAGCCGCACCAGGTTCGGACGCCGCAGCGCGCCCAAATACCTCACTTCGGTCTGAAGAGAGAATGGGATGGTGGGATGAGGGGAAGGATGGAGAGGAGGCTAGGGCAACAGGTCACCAGCCGTTCCCCCTCCATGCAGTACCCCACCAGGCCCACCAGGTTCGGGTGCCACAACGTTACCCCTCGCTACCTTGTGCCAGCGCCTTCCCAGCAACTTTCTCATCCTCCCATCATACAACACCCCACACTCAAAAACCATTCCAACCCACCTCACACCTCGAAACCTACTCCCATCCCACTCAACCGCACACTCACCACCCTCGCCCTGGTACCCCTCATGGTTCAGTGTCTTCCCAACAACTTTCTCCATCCTCCCATCATACAATACCCCACACTCAACAGCCATTTCCAACCCGCCTCACACCTCAAAACCCACTCTCATGCCACTCCACCGACTCAGTACACTCACCACCCACTCCGCCTCCCCCTGGTAACGCTCCTGATTCAGCGACTTCACAACAACATCCTCCTTCTTCCCATCACACGCAGAAGCAAATTACAACCAGCCTCGCACCTCAAAACACACTCCCATCCCACTCCACCGCACACTCACCACCCATTCCGCCTCGCCCTGGTAACCCTCCTGGTTCAGCGCCTTCACAGCAACTTCCTCCATCCTGCCCCCACCGACATGCACCCTCCCCTTGTGCACGCTCCCGAATCCTCCCTCCCCCAGCTTGCCCTCCCTGCTGAACCCGTTAGTAGCCTCGAACAACTCGTTATAAGAGAATTGAAGCAGAGTGGCGGCTATCTGCACGCTCCCAGGCGTCCCTCCCTGGCTGCCGAAGCTCGCAGTCTGGCTCGGGCCGACGCTGGAAGTATGGCTGAGGCTCGGACTCGGTCCTTGGCTAGACTCCTGCTGCGGGACTGCTTCCTGTTGCGGCTGCTGATGTGGCGGCTGCTGATATTGAGGCTGCTGATGTGGCGGTGGCTGATGTGGCGGCTGCTGATATTGAGGGTGCTGATGTGGCGGCTGCTGATATTGTGCCTGCTGATGTGACACCTGCTGATATGGCGACTGCTGATGCGACGGCTGCTGATGTGGTGCCTGTTGATGCGGCACCTGCTGATATGGCGACGGCTGGTGGTGCGGCGGCTGCTGTTGTGGCGACAGCTGAAATGCGGGTGGCTGACGTGGCGACAGACGGGGTGATCGGGAGCCATTACGTGGCACACCACCAGGCTCCGCGCTCTGCTGCTCACTGACTGCCCCACTATTAACTGCCCCGCTACCAGCTAGCACTGCCCCATTACCGAGCCGTTCCGCATCGGAACCCCTTTGGTCGGCACCCACGCCCGCGCTAGCCGGCTTGAGACCTAAAATAACGTCCACGGGAGCTACAGTGTACTCGTGCGCTGCTTCGGACTCTCCGCCGCCCAGCGAAGAGCCTCGGGATCTCCGTGCCGCCCTGCCAGCACGAGGGGAGCCTTTTGGGGCTGGCGCATCGATACAGAGGAGTTGGGCGCGGTGGGATGGGGCAAAAAGGAGGGACGAGTAAGTGTGAGTTTATCAACGCTGTAGTGCACTCGTCAAAAATTTATGTGCTTGGGGACTAGAATTTTGGTCATACATCGTACTTCATTCGTACTCAACTTCTGCTCGACAAAAAAAAGAAAGAAGGAAGAAAGAAAAAAACACAGAAACTCACACTCGGTCGTACTTCTACCGTCAACACTCTTCACTCTGAAGCACTCAACTATGTTACTGAATTGTCCAATATGGAAAAGCCATACAGTGACTGCCACGTCGTCGTCTCCAACGTACCGGGAGAGCGAGGCTTTTTACTTTGCCGCGGTGACAGAGGCTCTTCGTGTATGGAGAAACATGCCCCCATCCTGATTCCTTTGCATGAGCTGCAGTTATTTCACGTATACATAAGGGTCTGCGGCCATTATTGGATCAAGGCTCGATTGCTTGGATTTTCTCGAGTAATTCCGAAAGCAAAGCTCCAGAATCTAAGCCTGCTCGCTTCAAACGGTGAGTTTCGAGTTGATTAGGAGATAAATACTCTAGAGCCTAGGGCTGCTCACACGCGGCGCGGACAACAACTCGCAAACAGGCAACACACAAGAAGCAGCAGAGAATGATTTGCCACAAACTAAGGTGTAGAGGACTTGAACGAAACCCAAGTGAACTGGTGGAGGACGGTGTTGAATATGCCTTCTGCACCTGGAGAACAGCAGCTGTGTAAGTTCAACGAGGAAGGGGAGGGGGACCAGACTGGACGGGTCAGAAGAAAGAGTCACAGTGGGGAACCCCCCGAGTTCCCCGAGTGTGCTTTTGGGTGTGCTGTCCTGTACACCAGCAGCAGCAGCTGACCGTGGCCCAGCTTGTCCCTCGATTCAAGACAAACTCGGGGGGGTCTTCGAAATTGGTCAGACCAGGTTGGCTCGGCAGTTCCGAGGTCCACCGCGAGCTCCCTTGCTTCCGAGGTTCGGAAATCCCTTGAACTTGCTGACCGTGATTATAGTGGCGGAGTAGAAATTCTGCTTATGACAGCCAGCTGGAAGGGATTGGTTTGAGAGTCAGGAATTGGGAATTGGGAGAATAGGAGGTGTGACTAGCAGTTCAGCTGGACCTGGAATTTGGAAAAGGTTGCTGAATGAATCAGTAAAGAAATAATACACTACTCCAAAAAGGAGCTTTATCTGCTCAAGCAGTTGCACAAACCCGGTTTCCAGCAAGAAACTAAATGGCGTGCAAGAATAGCAACACCCCTTTATTCGTCTTGGCTTTACATGTTCCCCGGTCACTAACAACACACCACTATCCAAACACGGAGCTCAGCTTAGCGATAACAGCAGCATCGGAGCTGCACAAATCACTGAGCCAGGCTACCACTGGTCCAATGTCGGGCCGATTTCTACGGAGAGGGTTCAGACACTCTGAAGCAATTTTTGTCAGTATCTCCAGCTTGTGAGTAGGGTACTCTTCCATCCGCTCATCTACTATCAACCCGTAGTTTTCGTCCTTGATCTTGGGTATTGCCTGCGAATGAGGGTCAGGTCGGGAGGATGGTATATATGGCAAGAAGGTGTGTAGGCTTGATGTATAGAGAAAGAGAGAGAGATCAAGGTAGCAACAAGAGATTTCCCCCCCCCCCCCTCCCCCTGCAGCACGACAAGCAAGGAGGTCAGTGAACAGAGCAACCACGCACATGCTTGCCTTACCCATTGAGCAAGTGTAACAATCTTGACAGTGTTTCGACCCGCCTTAGCTACCACCTCTTCTTCCACCACTGGTGGTCGACCCGTTATAAGCTCGAGGATGACAACTCCAACTCTGCAACAAGTTCAAAAGATTGGAAACAGTGCATCCAATGCCGGTAATGCAGGATGTAAGGAGCAGGAAACAGTTCAATGAATTGCATAACACAACGTCACGGTGGTTTCGATTCGTGGTGGTGTGCTGTGTTGTGGCCTCATTACCTACTAACAAATCGCACCTCAAAACACACACCAGATGAAGACTACAGTTTCAGCCCAATAAATGCCAGTGTCAATATACCATCACTCAAAAGCCGGAAACCACAGGAAAAGAATGTTCTCACTCCCACACGAGAGCACGCAAACGGAATCTCACGCAAAGATCTCGGCCTTGGTAGTGACGACGAAGGTTTGGCAGTATTCGGGATCCAAGTACCCCTTCCTCCGCTGCACACGCACTCGGCTCGACTCCCCTGGCAGGTGCTTGCGCGTCCCCAACCCCCCCAGCTTCGCCTGTCAGAGACACATACCATCCATTGCCACAGATGCATGCACGGGCGGTTCGAGTCAAGGCTGCAGTTGACTTGCATTGACCAGAGAGGTCAATGCTCACATTGAAGTTGCCATCCCACAGGATGGTTGATGCCTTGATGTCACGGTCAAGGATTTCCACGGTGCATGATTGGCTTGGGCTGCGAGTGCGAGAAACTCCACAGCACTGCGCCATTGGCTACCATTGACTTCAGTTGACCAGAGGGGCTTGTCTCACATTGAAATTTTCGTCCAGCAGGATGGTTTCGGTCTTGACGTCACAATACACCACCGGCTGACTTCTATGTAAGTAGACTAAATCAGTCTGTTGACTTCCGTTGACCTCCATTGACTCACACTGAATTTCTCGTCCAGCAGGATGGTGTCGGTCTTGACGTCACGGTGCACCACCGGCTTGGGCTGCGAGTGCAGGAACTCCACAGCGCGTGCCACGTCAGCAGCGATCCTCAAGCGCTGCTCAAACGTGAGTGGCGGTCTAGACACTGTAGTTCAGAGGGGTGTGGGGAAGATGGGGGAGGCGGGGGGGTGGGAGGGAGAGAGGGGGACAGAGAGGGGGAGGACAGAGAGGGGGGAGGACAGAGAGGGGGGAGGACAGAGAGGGGGGAGGACAGAGAGGGGGGAGGACAGAGAGGGGGGAGGACAGAGAGGGGGGAGGACAGAGAGGGGGGAGGACAGAGAGGGGGGAGGACAGAGAGGGGGGAGGACAGAGAGGGGGGAGGACAGAGAGGGGGGAGGACAGAGAGGGGGGAGGACAGAGAGGGGGGAGGACAGAGAGGGGGGAGGACAGAGAGGGGGGAGGACAGAGAGGGGGGAGGACAGAGAGGGGGGAGGACAGAGAGGGGGAGGACAGAGAGGGGGGAGGACAGAGAGGGGGGAGGACAGAGAGGGGGGAGGACAGAGAGGGGGGAGGACAGAGAGGGGGGAGGACAGAGAGGGGGGAGGACAGAGAGGGGGGAGGACAGAGAGGGGGGAGGACAGAGAGGGGGGAGGACAGAGAGGGGGGAGGACAGAGAGGGGGGAAAGGGAGCATGTGGTGTGGGGAAGGGAAGGCTTCACAGGACAATAGAACTAAAGATTCCAACAACTCGTAATGATCTGATACGGAGTTGACCTTTGAGACTCCGGACTAACAGGTCACCAGCGGCTCCACAGGACAACCGAACTGAGGAAGGGAAGGCTCCACAGGACAACCGAACTGAGGAAGGGAAGGCTCCACAGGACAACCGAACTAACAGGTCACCAGCGGCCTCTTGTTCCACACTCACCATTGCCCTCTGCAGGCGGGCGCAGCCAGGAAGCGAGCGAGCCATGCTGCATGTGCTCGAATATGAGGATCTGCTCTCTGCCCTCGTCGCAGTAGCCAACGAGCGGGAGGAGATGGGGGTGGCGCAGGCTCGTGATCAGCATCACCTGGCAGGGGGGAAGGGGAGGGAGGGTGGGAATGTACGCAAGAGGGTTTGGGAGCCGTGCTGCATGTGCTCGAAAATGATTATCTGCCCCTCGTCGAAAGGGGGAGCAGGCTGGGGTGGCGCACACTCGTGATCAGCATCACCTGGCAGGGGGGAAGGGGATGGGGGCGGGAACGGGGAGAAGGGGGGAGGAGAGAGGAGATAGGGAGGGTGGGAAGGTAAGCAGAGACAGGAGGGTGCAACCAGGAAGGCAGTGAGTCAAGACGCAAGCAAGCGAGGCGTGGAAGCCCATCCCTGTTGACTAAAGGCTAGATTCCCCGTGGAGGCCAGAATCTCCACCAGCAGCGCACCTCTCGGAGAAACAGCGCCTGGGTCTCGGGCTGCGGCTGTTTGCACCGCTTGACCGCCACGTCCCGCCCGTCGCGCGCGCTCCCGCGCAGCACCACGCTCTGCCCCTCCGCCCCGATCACGCGCTCCTGCGCGAACTGCGCCGTGGCCTCCGCCACGTCCGCCAGCGACCACTTCTCCGCCCGCGCGCGCGGAATCTTCGCATCCTCGTCGTCGTCCGTTCCGCCCACCACGTGGACTGCGCCTTGCCGGGGCTTCATCCTTGCGCTGCTGAGGTTGCGGGTGGTGGTGATAACGGTGGTGGCCTTTGCGGGTGCGTCCGTGTCTTCTGACCGGGCCGCTTCTGATAGAAGAAGCGGAGAGGACGAGAGGGGAGGTAATAAAGAGAGGAGGATGCATGAATACGTACCCAAAGCCATATACGATGATTGGTGGGACAGAGCAGAGCAGGAAAAGGTGGGACTCAAAGAACTTGGAGAAAAAAACATCTTACTGGCTCTGCCAAGCAGCATATTGATGCCGAGCGCAGTTTTGAAGACGGTTCGAAACTGGCCCTGAGCTCTCCGGAAAAGAAGAATCTCACTGGTTCGATCGAGCAGCATCTTGATGCCGAGCGCGAAGAGCACGACGAGCAGCAGCGCCACTAGAACCGAGATGATAATCGTTGCAGCTGGAGGTGCAGACATCGCACGGAGGTGACGGAAAAAAAGAAGGACACAGGAAGTTAGGAGGGGGAAACGGGGAAGAAGAAAAGTCATGGGAAACAAATGGGAAAGAATACAACGAAAGGTAAAGAAAGAGGAAGGATTGAGATAGATGTGGCTACGAGAGGAGAGAACGCCGACTGTCAGTCAGTGCCCGTTGGAAAGAGAGCGAACTCAGAAGCTGTGATGCAAAAAGCCGAGTTTCGAAGCTTACAAACTTGCAAGGAGTGTAGAAAAGAGCATACTTACTGCCTGTGCTGGAGAGAAGAATCCGAGGCTGCGGCCGACCTGCCATTCGAGCAAGGGGGGTTGGGGTTGCAGCATTAGTTAGCATTTTTTCGGGGCGCTGAAACTTGTCAAACGACATCTGATTGAAAATGAGTTCGGTTTATAAGGCGCTTTGGAAAAACAGTATTTAGATTGAGATTAAAATGATTTTTGCTGGTGTGGTAACTTCTGTTGAACAAGATTCCAGCTGTCAACTTGAAAGCTTTGTTCCCGTGCTCGGTTTTCGGCCTGTCATATAGTTTCCAGATGCGTTTATTTGTGCGTACCGGCTGTGGCGACGCCTGCATTCACGAGTGCGACGAGTGCGACGGCCACGACGGCGTCGCACGACAGCGGCGCCGATAGTTTTGAATGTTCTGACGACGACAGCTTCCAGCGCTCCATTCGCCGCAAGAGCGCCATCCCGTATCCGCGAATCGCGTTGTTATCTCCGTCCGTACCCTTGCCGCGACGAGTAGTTTCTGAGATGCTTGGTTGTGTAACTACCGTCGTCTTATGCAATTGTTGGCTGCTGCTGGATGCCGTTTCGTTCTAGCGACTGTTGCTGACGACCTTATTGAACCATTTCGTTCGTCGAATGCGCAATTGATGTGGATGAGTAAGTCAATGGGGCAGGCTGGGAATTAGCAAAGGCAAAACGAGGAACGGACACCAAGAATTATTATCAGCACAATACGTAACTGGTGGGAAACAGTATGAGGAGGAAGTGATGAAATGCATGGGAGCAATTTTGAGGACTTCAGAAGAAACGAAATGGAGGAGATGACGGATCGCCCTGTTTTCAAGTTTCCGATTCCTTTGGGAAGTGGCTTTGATGCCGCCTTGCTTCTCCGCTCGCGTCCGATTCCTTGGGGCAGCTGATTTCGACATTTCCAATTTCCTGTGAGCAGGAAAATTCTGACGAACACCTGTGGACAAAATAAACCCCTCTCGGATGGCTGGCCATTTGGGAGGCATCAACCTATACACCTTGCCTCATGGTGTTTAGGGTTGATGCCTCCCAAATGGCATGCCCTCCATGAGGGGTTTATTTTTTCGTCCCGAGCTTTCATTGTCAGCAAATTGAACATTCAAAAGAATAGAATGATAGGATTTTCCAACCTGGCTGTGCTGGTCTCCATGAACCTTGAGCTCGCCGCCATGGATTTCTTCAGGACCTTCAGTCCAGCATTTCGTGAAGCACACGTGTCAGTTGAATTCTTATACCACAGCATTGTACTCGCGCTATCGCGACGAATCGATCGATACAACATTTATGTCCATCAGGCGTACATTGTACCAATCCATTCTCGGGATCTGCTGTTCATGTTTAACAAGCTAACAAACTTCAAGGCTTCATTAGCTAACATCCTGTTGCTGATTCAGCGTGCTAAACAAGGGATCACACCGCAAGTCTATGATTGACTTTCCTTATTACACGTAACTTTCAAGGCTATCAAGGACCATCCATCGGTCTCATCAGCAACAACACAACATCTACATCAGGAATATTGGGCTTCAGAAGGCTCAACGCAGCTACTACTTAATGTGCTCAGAAGTCCAGCTTCACAGGCATTTGGATTTAGCTCATCATTGCACAATGCCGTGAAACCCGCCAAAGGAGCATGCACCACTGGTGCCGAAGAAAGCTGCTGCTGTTGCTGCAAAACCTGTTGACAAGGGAAAGGAGGTGGTGGAAGACAACCATGATGATCCTATTCCAAGTGGATCTGGACTGTCACTGGAAGAGAAACTGGCTGCGCTTACCTCTGCGAAAGAAGAGGTGGAAAACGAGTTAACTGATGATGACTCTGACGATGAACTGGACTTCGATGTTACGAAGGACTCCATTGCCAACAAACGCTACACTGCTATTCTGCTGCTGCCGTTCATCCTGCAACAGGAAATCGCTCCTGTCATCGTGACCGCGTGGATGCTGTTGAAGCGTGTCTGGTCCTCGCTTTTATATGACGGTGCTAACACCCAAGTTAACTTCCAGGAACTTCCCCCTGGTTATGTTGCTCAGAAGAAGTATAGCCGCCTCCAAGTGTCTTTCATGAAGGAAGAAGATGCAAGCAATGTCCGTCAGGCAATATTGGACTATGAGCAGGCTAAATGCACTTCATTCAGACTACACTGGCTGCATACTGAGAATACGGCATTTACTCGGTTAAAGGCGACCAATCCGCGCGTAATCGAAGTGGTTTTCAGAGGCATACCTGCTAAAATTTCACCAGAGGGCTTGGAACAGATGCTGGTTAAGTACAAGCTGAAGATTCGCTAGTCACGCCGTTCCTGGAGGGTCACTACTTCCATCGCGTGCTGCACCCGGTCTCAGGAGCTGACACTGATGTGATTAAAGGATTGGTGGTGCCTCACCCGGAGGATAAGAAGAGGTGCTAGATCCACCAAGTCAAGCATCCCCTTGAGCATAACAAGACGCTGCTGATCCCCTACCCTGTGCTCTCCTGTCTGCTCAGTGGGGGTGCGCATTATGACAAGCATCATGATGTCTTCACCACAGAGAGACAGAATAACATAGGGAAGTGGATGTCAAAATATTATAATGCTTATATTGTGTAGGCTATAGTGGGGTAGCCCATAAGGGGTACAACCCAATTAGGGTTAGTACTTGTACCAACTTTTTGCTCAATGCATTTTTTTCTCGTTCAGTATTCTGACATGGTTTCAGAGCAGGTCCTGTTCCAGGATCGTTTTTTTTTAGGGCCCATCGCATAGTTCCCTGCTCGTAGCGCTGCCCCACTAGTCACGCTGCCCCACTAGTCGCGCTGCCCTGCCCTGCCCTGCCCTGCCCTGCCCGACGCGCCGCCCTGCTAGCCGCACACTGCCCTGCCCTGCCCTTCGGGCCGCCCTACAGGCAGAGCGTTGCCTTGCCCTGCCCGTCGCGCCGCCCTGCTGGTTGCGCGCCGCCCTCCCCTGCCTGTCGCGTCGCACTGCTGGCCGCCGCGTCGCCCTGCTCTGACCGCGCGCCGCCCTGCTGGCCACCGCGCCGCCCTGCTCTGCCTGCGCGTCGCCCTACCTGCACGTGGCCCTGCCCTGCTCGCGCACCGCACTGCTGCCAGCCGCGCCGCCCTGCCTTGCCCGCACATCGCCCTGCTGGCCGCCGCCCTGCTGGCCGCTGCCCTGCCCGCGCGCCGCCCTGCTGCCCGCGCGCCGCCTTGCTGCCCTCGGGCTGCCCTGCTGGCCACCGAGCCGCCCTGCCCTGCCCGCGCGCCGCCCTGCTGGCCGCCGCCCTGCCCTGCCCGCGCGCCGCTTTTCCCTAGCAGTGCGCCACCTCACCCTGCCCTGCGCGCTTCCCTAGTGCTTGTGCGCCGCCCTGCCTGCGTACTGCCCTGCTGGTCGCACACCAAGCTGCTCTGCCCGCTATGGCTTCTCTCAGTGTTCTCACCTTCGATCACGAGGGCCGTCCGATCCAGTTCGATACGTGGCTTGACGACTTACAGCTGTACCTACTTAGCGATTCTAGAGACAGCGTTTCGTTGTTTGACCACACGTCTGGAGCCTTTCTCGCCCCTTGCGCCACAGCTGATAGTGCGACTCGCTCACAGTGGCTTACCCGTGACGCTGCTGCTCGCTTAGCCGTTCGCAACTACCTGCCGTTAGCCGAACGCGCTCACTTTGGCCAGCACAAGACTGCTAAAGCCCTATACGACGCTGTAGTCGCTCGTTACTCTTCCCCTGCCACTGCTGCTCTCGGCCGCCTTATACTGCCCTAACCTTTTCCCGAGTTGTCAGCCTTTGCCATAGTCGAGGACCTCATTACCCACCTTCGCACTAGCGACACTCGCTACTACGCTGCCCTCCCAGCCGAGTTCCTAGACAAGAACCCGCCCCCGATGTGCATCACTCTCTACTTCATAGTCACCCGCCTCCCTGACTCTCTTCGCGCTATCAGGGACCACTTTCTCGCACTTGACCCCACAGACCTCACTGTCGACATGCTCGAGAAGCACCTCCTTGCAGCTAAGACTAGCGTAGTCGCTGTAGGTGCTGCTCGTGGCACTCCTCGCACACCCTTCTTTGAGGGGTGTTCTCCCTCCCCCCTTGCCCCCTCCTACGCTTCTGTTGCTGCTGTTGACGTCCTTGGTACTTGTCAAAACATATGTGTGTATGATTACTTAGGCCGTAGTGGGTTTAGCCTTAGGGGGTACAAGATTACTCTCGACATTATACTTGTACTCCCCTCATGACCTAATGCCATCATTCCTTCCTACTAAGCTACCTATTTCAACATGGTATTAGAGTAGTTACGACCCTTGGGCCCACCACCTGCTGCCCTGCGCGCCGCCCTCGTGCGGCCCTACTCTCGACGTTTGGCACGGCCCGTCGCCCGTAGCCCCTAGGCCCTGGCCCATCGCCCCGCGCCCGTCGCCCCTAGCTCTCGGCCCAGTCACCCGTTGCCCCTCGGCCCGTCGCCCCGGCCCGAC